CGGAGGCGAGGTCTTCTCCTCCCTCCACGGTCCCTGGTTCCTCTCCTCCTAACCTCCCTCCTCCTCGGTTTCTCTTCTTCCCTTCTTCTTCTTCTTCTTCTTCTTCAGACTGGATACTTGATACTAGTTGGACAGAGATCAGTGTTGGACTTCGGTGGTAAGAGGCTGTGGTACTTACCGGGTTCGAGACTTGGAGATTGTTGGGATGATACTCGGCTGCATCACGGATTGGACACCGGTTACATTAGGACTCTGTATCTCCGACATTGGTGACTTATTGTCCGCGACATTGAACTTGTTCGATGACATTTTGGATTACCATATCGGTGACCTACTGGTTTCTATCTCGGTGACATCTGGTGCTACCTACATCTCCCCCCCTCCGTCGTCTCTCCTCCCACCTCTCATCTGTGTATGTTTGTACGGGGCCTGAGCATCGTCCGTGTTTGGCTCAGACCCCAACATCTCACAATTGTTTGTGTGTGGAGTGATATCTGTGTGAGTCAGTCTATGTGAGTCAGTCCATTATCAGTCTTCCGCTGCATACATGCTCATCCTATATTGGTTGATCTTTGGTTCTGCCCCATACTCGTTGAAGTATTCACGAGTATGCAACACTGACCCACATAGAAGGGCACTTGGGTCACATAGAACTGCACCAGCCCACATAGCACTGCACCCAGCCTGCATAGTATGACACCCTGCCCACAAATAGTGCGTCCAGCCTGCATGTAGTTGTTTACCTCACTTTGACCAGTGAAGTGCGTGCTCTGCAAGCGCCTTGAACAGTTGAGCCAAATTCAACTACACTTGAATGGATGGTAAAAGTCCTCCAGCTTTTCATACCTTTGAAGAGCTTCCAGCCACCTAGCCCACATAGTACTGCACCCTACCCACGTAGAACCACACACAGTCCACCTATTAAGTGATGGAGTGAACGAGTGCATGGGTGGGAGGGAGCGAGAATCCTATTGAGAGGGACGGGGTCACATCAAGCAAGGAAGCAATAAAATACTCCCCCTTCCCTTCTATCCCCTCCTCCCTCTCTTCCCACCCCTCCTCTCTTCCGTGTGCAAAGCCACAGAGGAAATCAGTTTATTCTTCTGCGGATATCACTTTATCTATATCCTAGAGTCTATACTCTTATTGGAGACTGCAGCGGATCTCGCGTGACGCTCCCGCAAGGCCCAGCTTCCAGTCTTGGGAAAACAGTAGGGACACGGGGGTGGGCCCAGCAGAAGCACGCATCGGAGTTGCTGGGGCATGTGCTAACCTCTCACCGCTTGTTCAAATACAAGTACATAGCGGCGGGAGGGTTGCGTGCCTTGCTCTCTTTTTGTTTTTCTTCTTCTTTTCAGTGCACGTGCTTTTTGCCAGCTGTTCCCATTTGGTTGTTTCTATGCCCTTTTTTTTGCGCTTTTGTCGTGGGTGTATCTTTCCATAGGGGAGGGTTCATTCTCCTGTTGGACATTTGGTGAGTGGCGGCGCCAGGGCCTGACTCCACTACTGTCCACATGCACAAAAGACAATAATTTGGCGTTGTACCTTAGGATCAGTTCAACGATCCCGCACATGCACAAAAGACAACAAAATATTGGCTCCACGACTCTGCACATGCACAAAAGACTACGAAAAATTGGCGGTGTATCTTTCCATGTTCTACTGGAGGATTCTTAGGGCCTTGCTGCACTACTCTCCAAATGTGCACAATGAGACTGAATCCACCACTAGAACATGGAAAGATACATTGCTATCTTTTTCGTCTTTTGTGCATGTGGACAGTAGTGCGGCGAGGCCCTTCGACTCATCTGCTTCCAGTGAAGTTCGAGCTCGGGTTTGTATTTCAACGGTTCTGGGGTGTACCGACTGACCTGCACCACTTGGTGGATGCTGCGATTGAGTTTGGCTTTGCGGGTTTTCCTTCTTTTTTTTTTCCTGTTAGCAAAACCAAAAAGGCCTATACCCCCTTCCCCGCTTGACATGGCCCTCCTTTGTGGTTTCATCTCCTTCCCTCCTCTGCGCCCCGGCGAGGACCGCTTCGTGGATGCTGCACAGTGTCGCTGGCCACGCATCACATGGCCCTCCTTCGTGATTTCATCTCCTCCCTGCCTCTGGGCGACGGCTTTGCCGTGGCAGGTCCGGCATGTTCATCTAATGTCATCAGCGCCGTGATCAACCTGGAATCTCTTTCACGTCTCATCACAGTGGTGAGGGGAGGGAATCGTCAGAAATCAATTCTGGCCATATGTGCATCGCAAGTGCATGCCCCCCCCTAAAACTGGTGTGGCACAGCACATTTTATTTACGCGTGCGCCGTGTGAAGAAAAACCAAAAATCCAAGGTAAACAATAGGATTCTGAGACATCCATTCGACGATAAAGAAAAGATAAGCATGGCCCCTGAACAAGAATGAGACGCACAAATTGAGATATGGTCCAAATTGAGAAACAAGGGATTGTGACATCCCTATACCTCCTACGGACTAACAAGGACCCATACTAATGCCCCTCGGCGGGCCCACGAGAAACTGGCGGTGGGCGGTACCATTGTGGCACTGCAGTATCTTTTCCCCATCCGCGCCTTTGTTTTTTTGGGTGTCGTGGAGAAGAAGATTCAGGAAGGTCCGGTCGGGTTTTCATTTTATTTTTTTCCGCCACATGTCGGGTTCGAATCGCAACGGGAGGCCGCGTTTCGGCCCTTTGGGGAGGTGTTTTTTTTTGTGTGGGTTCGTTGGGAGCGTTCAGCGTTGCACACACCGAGCTTCTCTTTCGACAGGAGCAGCTCGGTACACGGTGACAAGAGAGAGAGAGAGAGAGAGAGAGAGAGAGAGAGAGAGAGAGAGAGAGAGAGAGAGAGAGAGAGAGAGAGAGAGAGAGAGAGAGAGAGA